ATTTGGAGGTTTGTTCATATTATTGATTTCATTGGAGGGTTTATTAACAAATAATTTATTATTTAGATTTCCATTCAGCATATTAATTAATTATTTTTTATTTATCCTCCTATTTTATGTGCTGGGTTATTACTCAATTGTTTTGATACTCCCTGATTTTTGGGTATGAATTTGATCAACCCATACTTGGGAATTAGGGGTATCACAAAGATGTGTGTGTGTGTATATATATATATCCAATATGGCTTAAGGGAGTGTTTGGTTATAACAATTAGTGAAAAAGTGTTTGGGTAATAATGATCACAATAAGGGGCATTAGAGGCTTTTTATGCACATAAGGGCATTTTAGTCATTAAATTATACTTGGTTTGTGGTCGTCGTCCTACCATAAGCTTAAGAGTGTGAAATTTAAGGCGAGGGCCAAGAGTTTTACACTTATAAAAGCCACTACTACCTTTCACTATAAATATAGCTAGGGTGAGTAGGGATCGTCCCAAGGGATTGTGAGGATCGAACAAGGTCGTGGAATCGCTATTAGGGCTAGTAGGTCGAGTGATCAAACAATTGGTTTGGTTTATTAGAGAGCAACTAAATTAAACTAAGTGATAACAAAAAAATGCAACTAAGAGTAAGTAAGAGAGAAAAGAGTCTTGGGGTTTAGAGATCACCACCAAGCAATGCATTTCTATACCGTTGACAAATAATTAATGAGGGCAAATGGTGTGTTGCAATATTAGTGTGTGTGCGTATTTGGTTGATTCAACAAGCAAGGATGACTAGTTAAGCATGTATTGTCTAAACATCATGTGAAAGGCACAATATATCTAAGCAATGAAGCATATATTGTCTAAACAACATGTGAAAGGCACAATAGATCAAAACAAATCATTAATCCTTTCATTAAGCTCACAATCCAAATATAACACAAGGTTAGAGACATACGCTACTTGCATTCAAAAGCTTGGATCATCAAATTGTCCTCCTATTTAACACTACACTACATTTACACTACTAGCATGAAAATAAATTAAGGAAAAGGCACAATCCATCAAGGAATAAGTATGAACCATCAAGAGAATCACAAGAGCATTCATTTAAGCACTCTGTTTTGACAATCTCCAAATCTATAGCATCAATAGACATAGACATGCATCAATAACACAAAATCTAGAGACAAGCACATGAACATCTATTCTAGCATACATAGATATATGGATAGAATGAAATGATCAATTAGAAGCATTAAACCATATAAATCATTGAATAAACAAGATCTATATATATCAAAGTGTCAAAACATTAATTACAACACTAATCCCTCAATAATACACAAGATAAAGATATAGAAAGCATGCTTGGGGCTAACTCTAGCCCCAAGAGGATGTCTAACCACTTATGGTGATGTTGCTCCAACCCTCAAGGACTAACTTCATGGAAGAAATCTGCTCCTTGTTGATGAAGAACTCCAATGGTGTCTCTAGCCTCCTCCTCCTCTAAGCTTGCTCTCCAAGAGATGATATGAAAATGATATTAGCTCCCTTTTGTAAAAAGCAATCCTTATCCTTATATAGGTAAGTCAAATGACACCCAAAATGAGCTGGGGTCGTGCACACAATATTCCCTAATGATTGGATAAAGGACAACTTTCAATGAGATGGAAATTTAACTTTTTCGCACTGGAGGAAGTTCGATCGATCTAACCTTGGACTTGGATCGATCGAACTTAGGCTGGATCGATCCAACTGGTTGAGCTTTTTGAGAAAAGACAAATCCGAGATATTTTGGGAGATATTTTTGGGAAAAGGACAAAAGTGGTTAGTGGGTGGTATAGCTGTGGATAGGATCAATGATTTGAATAAGGACAAAAGTGTTTGATCGATCGAAGGGTGGTGTTAGATCGATCGAACTTTGGACTTTTTGCTTTTGGGCCAAGGCTTGGATCTATCTTGAAGTGTTGAGATCAATCAGTGTTCGATCGATTGAACCTTGAAGTTGGATCGATCAAACTTTGTTACTTCCCACCTTTGGCTTCAATTGCTTCTTTCTTTCTCCACTTTGTTCATTTCTTTGTTTAATCCCAGAATTGCTTCAATTAAGCTCTTATTTGGCTGAGTTAGCTTATTTTCGGGATAAGTACCTGAAAATGAAAATAATATGAAATCAATCTAAAACGGTAAAGTAAGATAGATAAATGTACTAGAATGCCTAAGCTTAAGTGGTTTAAATACGCACTTTTCAGCGCCCATCAGTTTGCCACATGATAGTCAAATGGTCAAGTTTAGGCCGGAAGCCTGCCGGATGGGGTGATCTGCAACAAAAATGAATAGCTCATGTTTTTTATATTTATTTTATATTTATTTTATATTTTTATAACTTTTGTAGTTTAGGGGGTTTCTTGCTAATTGATCAATAGTTCATGTTTTGTACTTCTTTTGTTTTTTTTTTTTTTTTTTTTGGCATTTTACCCTATTAAATATTAGTAATATAAAACTTCAGATAAGGCTATACAATTTACACGTCTTCGTGTTTAAAGAGACGTTTTTTTCGTACTCCCATTATAAAAAATTGTATGCATTCAATGTCATATTTTAATATTAGCAGTGTCATCAATATAGTACAACCAAATAATATTCATTCAATGTTATACATTCTAATATTTATACTCTTATTTTTGTATTCAATGTTATATTCTAATATTAGCAATAAAGTACTACTTGGTGGGACCTTTAATGATGTCTTTTTACAATTTTTTTAAAGGAAGTTCTTGAAGATCTAAAACCGTGATTTAGAATTAAACCAAAATGGTCTTTTACTTTTCGATTCGGCTCAGTTTTAGGGTTCAATTGTTCCGGTTTCAATTTTTTAAGAATTGTTGGGATCGATTCAGTTTCAATTTAGCCTAGGATTGTACCAGACAAAACCATGTGCACCCTTAGTGCGACGTGTGATTTGATGGAATTCTACTTTTATAGTATTTTGGCATTACATAAAATATATTATAAAATAATATTGTATTGTATTTTAAGTAATATTAATTTAATTCCGTAACATAATTATATGTCAATTAATTTAATACTTCTTGCAACAGTAAAAAAAATAAAAAAAAATTGGATAAATGAATTTAAAACTAATTTTAATCAAACACCCGTCTAAATAATGACTAGGGGTGCAATCCGATTCATGTCCAAAATTTTTATAAGACTGAGTAAGGTACTTTAGATTGCTGAATGGAATTGAGTTTAAATTTTAGAAACCGAATTTATTTTGGACGAGACTTGGGCAAAGATTTTCGTAACCCAAGGAACTCAAAAAACTCATAGAACCAAAAATATAAGAATAGTTTATAATTTTTATATTTATAATTAGATGATGAATTATGGATTCATATTACATATAGATTTTTGTAGTACCTTTGGACGGCTTAATATTTTCTTTTCTTTTCTTTTCTTTTCTTTTCTTTTTAGTGTTTGTTTAATAGTAAGTTATTAAAATTTGAGATAACCAGAGATGAAACCTGTGCCATGTAGGGCTAATCCAAACTTGAACTTGACCCCAACTAAAATAGTATTACCTTGATTTTGGGCCTGGGCTAACCCTTGACCCGCCCAAATCCCATCTTTTCACCAAATTTAGAAACATAATGACCATCTATTCGACAAAGGGTGTGTGCTTTAAAATAAAAAAACATAATGAACCGTTCCGTCTCCTTTCACTGGACAATTTGTTAAGGGATAATTCTATAAAAATAAAATTTTGTGGGTTAAAGGATAAAAGAATGGAGTAAAAATTAAAATTTTTAAATTAATAAAATTTTCTCAAAGGCTGAGGTCGATATGAAAATTTACTATACTTCATCTTTTCAGTTTTCATTCCCAAAATACCCTTCTATTATTGTTATGAATTTCTTTCTCCCTTGCACTCCAAACCAGCCCCTTTGAATGTGTTCATTTGCAATGGTAAAAACAATTGTTTCTTTTTGATTGGTCATCTTTCTCTTTCACCCACCTAACAATAAACCCATTTAAAAAATAAAAATAAAAAAATAAAAAAAAAATAGCAGATCCATTTAATCATTAGAAAAAGTATATATGACCAGAAGTTTTGGATGAATTTCTCAGTGTTATTGGTTGTTCGTTTGGGAAGAAAGGTTGTTATAAATGGGTTTCTCTCTCTAGATATGAGGGGTAGTAACATAATTTCATAACAACAATAGAATGATATTTTGGGAATAAAAGGATGATGTACAATAAATTTTCATATCCACGTCAGATTTTGAGAAAACTCCATTCATTTGGAAATTTTGATTTTAACTCCATTCTTTTGTCCTTTGACCCTCAAAGCTCAATTTTTATGAAATTATCCAATTTGTTAATTATAGACAATTTATATATTCAAGTATGAAATGAATTTGATTTGGTAGATGCTTCATTATACACATGATCACTATTGTAAATGTACAATACTTTCAATTTTAAGTGTATGAAATGAATTATTGATTATATGCAAGTTTTATAAAGCTCAAATAGAATGATTTTAAATGGAATGATATAGAGTGATTTTTAATGGAATATATGCAAGTTTTATAAAGCTCAAATAGAATGATTTTTAATGAAATAGTATAGAATGATTTTTAATGGAATATATGCAAGTTTTATAGAACTCAAATAGAATGATTTTTAATGAAATGGTATAGTATAGAATGATTTTTAATGGAATCATGTTTTTCATTATTCAAATGTCTTATAGAGGAATCATATAAATTTAAATGGAATTGCATGTTTTTATGTTGTCAATGTTTGTTATATACAATTTATATTGTCACTAAATTTTTTTCTATAGTTTGACTTTGTCAAATATGTTTTGTTCTTATATTTTTTTAAACGGAATATCTTGCCAAACATTTCTATCATGTTTCTGTTCCAAAATTTTTACTGTAATCGCCAAATGTGTTTTGTTCTCGTTTCCAAACACCATATTACAAAAACACTTCTAAACTAAAACAAAACACAACACCTTCCAAACGGCCGGACTCTCACGCACCAAACCTAGCCCCAACTCTTAAACCCTTTTCATTCTTTTTTCGTTTTTTAGCTGATACTAAAATGTTGTCTTCAAACAATTATCTCATGGCTGTTCCGAACAAAGTTCTCTTTACTGTCGTATTAACAAGGTTAACTGTCCCTCTCGATTAGCTTCCACTCGCCGTGTTGATGAACATGGATTTGCGAGGGAAGAAACTCATCAACGACCCTAATGGTAAACGCTCCCTCTCTTCTTGCAGTTGCAGTATCGGATTCTCTCATATTTGATTTTTGTTGCCTATGACTGAAATTTGATGCGACGTTGAGTCAATTATGTCTCTCTTTTTGTTTAGTAATTTTGTTTTGCTACAACAATCCACACTAATGCATGCTCAAACAGAGGCTACGTTTTGTATAATTGGCCAGAATATTCAGGAAGAGATGTGGCTGCAATTTGTTTTGCATAACACTCGCATTTGTATCCACAGCAACAAATTATTACTCTTTTTTTTTTTTTTTTGGGTTCTGTATTCATTACTCAATTGTTGCATTTTTATCGATAGCAACAAATTGTTACTGTGTTTTGGGTTCTTGTTAACAAGTAGTATGCCCTTTGTAGCTGTATATAGTAGGGTAAAGTGCCGAAAGCTTATACTTCGCATATCACTTTCACCCCCTATTTTAAAGAGTGTGCTATTAATTCTTTTGCTGTTCAAACAGTGAGCACTGAGCGGAAGCACCTCTCAAATATATACTTTTTCTTCAGTAAAGATTGAACACCCATTTGTTGCTAGGAAAAGAATTATATATAAATTTATTGCAAATTCTAAAGTTTAAAAAATTAAATGTATATATATATATATATATATATATATATATAATTCTTTACCTAGCAACAAATGGGTGTTCAATCTTTACTGAAGAAAAAAAAAAAAAAACCATCACTGCTCTCAGCTCCTTAAATTTTCATAAATATATATATACACAATTCATTACATAGCAACAAATGGGTGTTCAATCTTTGTTGAAAAAAAAAAAAAAAGAACAAATGGGTGTTCAATCACCCCCACCTTAGGGGTGTTGTCCGCACTTTACCATACCTTAGGGATGTTGTCCTTCTTTATTATTTTACAAAATGCATTTTTTTAAAATAAAGTGTAAATTGTCTTCATAAGGGTAATTTGGACAAAGTCTATCTTAAATGTGTTAGGGAATTATTTGCACAAATTGATACTTTAGGGGTGTTTTCCACACATGAGGAGTGTGATACGCACTATAAGCATACTATAGGGGTGCTTTCTGCACTTTACCCTATAGAGTATTACTTACCGGAACACTTTGTTTCCTGATTAAGAACAAATCCCACTTAATATGTTTCTGGTTAATCAATCAAAGTGTTAATGTAAGGTCTTTACGGCATTATATAGCTGAATGTTGTTATTACTATGGATACAGATGTGGTGACCGAATTCATTGAGGGTCTCGTTCAAACTTTTCCTTGCTTGCAATATTTAGATGGTTTTCCAGAGGTAGTCATTTTTTCACTTTTTTGTCTATTTAAGATGGAATATCACCATATGTACGTATGTTCTATAATTTGATGGTGACAGATTCTTTACTATGAAAATATAGGTTAAGGTTGTGCTGCGTGCTGATGTTTCAAATGCAACATACGACAAAGTTGCTGTAATATCAGGTTTGAGACCCTGTAAAAAATTATTCAATTAATTTTTATTTCTGTTTTAGCACTGAAATTGCATTTACAGATTTACATGTTTAAAAGTCATGAGATCTCCATTTTGTTAAATTCTTTGTGCCCATTATGGTTAGTGGTACTGGTTGTGTCCCATTTTTATTCATTTTGTATGGTTACTAGATTTGATAAACTACTTGGTGCATGGCCTGAAGAGGTAAGGGAATTATTTCATCAGATGACTGTACCTGATGTGAATGATTAGATTCAATGGAAGTATGGTCGAATCCCTTTCAAAGCCATGCGGAATGTGTGTAGGGAAAAGGGTAATCCAGTTCCTTGGAGCACACTGGTGTGGAATTCAAGTAGACCTAGAGTGGTGGCTTTACAATCTGCTCTAGTCATGAACAACTCTTTCCCATCTTTCTTCAATCTTAGGAAAAGAGGTTTTATTAGTCCTGCAATTTGTCATAATCGTTTTTCTGTTATGGATTCTCGAGACCATCTGTTCTGGTGGTGTCCTTATGCTTCAGCGGTGTGGAAATGGCTGGCTCAAAATTGTCATTGGAATGCTGTTCTGGATTTGGAACTACGTAGTTCATGGAAATGTGACTATATTAGCCTCTTAGGTTACTTGAAATAGTATTGTTTAATGCTTATTGTACTTTTATTTTAAAATATCTTTCTAATGATGTATACCAAACCAAAAGGTCTCTAATGCCATACCTTTTTCACTAGATGAGAGCATATTCCTTTTATGCATTATGTTTTTGCTATGTCACTTTCTTTTAGAAGCATTTCAGTTGATTATAGGACATTGAATTTAGTGATTGCTGAAATTTTATCTTCTATGGATTTTTATATGACTGTGACACACAAAGAATCCTAGACTGAGTTTGATGACAGTTTCCTTGATCTTGAATCATCCAATGCAATTTAATCTAGCTCTGGAATGTTGATAATTTCATGGTACAGGAGGTGGAAGTGGGCACGAACCCGCTTATGCAGGATTTGTAGGAGAAGGGATGCTAACAGCTGCTATCTGTGGAGATGTTTTTGCCTCTCCGTCTGTTGATTCGATTCTCGCTGTATGATTTCTTTCTACGGCTTGCTAGATATATTGGGCCATATGAAATTTCTAGATCTATAAACTAAAAATACACCTTTTTCTGCATCACCTTGTTAATTTCTCACTCGTTCTACCTTTACATGACCAAATTAATTTAATCCAATTTTAGGGCATACGAGCTGTGACTGGTCCTATGGGTTGCCTTCTCATTGTCAAGGTATTGCAACTTCTAAACTGTTCTGACAATTTGTTGAATAATTGAGTGAAGTTTGCTTGTTTAGATTGTGTAGGAGGAGGGAAAATAAATAAGAGCACTTTCATTAGTACATAATTACTTGACATCATATGTAAGATGTAACCACCCCAACCTAGGAATAAACTATACTGAAGGGTAAGGATGAAAAATCAATGTTAAGGGAAACTGAAACTCGGCAATTTGTTCGAACAATCACTGAGGTTCATTCAAATGAACTACATAGCTGGCAAATAAATAAGAAGGTAGGTAGCATGGCCATGTGTCACCATCAGGCGACCCAACCATGCCACGACCCTGTAAAGAGGGGCGGTATAGGAGAGAAAAGTGCAAAAAGAAGGAAAAGGGAGGAAAAAGAAATAAAGGAAAGGATAAAAAGGAGAGAAACGAGAAGAGAGAAAGGAAGAAAAGAGAGGGAAAGGGAAGAAAAAAGAGGGAATTGGGTGGAGTTTATAAGAAAAGGGTGGAAATGTTTCCGAAAGGAAAAACATGTAGTACAGAGGTAGTGTTGACCATTTAAAGAGAAAGTGAGGAAAGGAAACCAAGAAAGGAAATCGGACGAAGAGAGTAGGTGTTAATAATCTTTCTGCCTATAATCTCTAACTATGTTTCTCATTGTGTTATTTGGCAAGTCATGAAAGAAAGGATAGGGCTAATTTGTAGTAAGGATGAGCGTGCCATAATTCATAATATTGAAATTTGATTAAATTGCTATGCGATTAGTGCATGCAATTTATAATAATATGGTTAATTGGCTGCAAGACGTGCCTGTGAAACTGAAGGAGTATTTGCATGCGGCAGTTGTTGTGTTTATGATTATAGCATACAGTGGTGATCATGTGGTTAATAAATTTAGAAAAGTACTGGGATTCTAATGAATACTGATGATTTTGGAGTTTGAATGAATTATTAACGATTTTGGCATGTGTGATTGAATTAAGGAGAGTGGTGATCTTGATATCGATGGTGGGTGACCTTCTTTCTGAGAAAGAGTTGAGGAGCGGTGATCTTGTAAAGAAAAAACCCCGTAGGTTAGTGCTTGTCACTTGTGGAAGTAGTGGCCTAAGTGAACTGGAAATTCCAGGGGCCAGCTACTTAGTTGACTAGTGGGGTGATTTTTTAGGAGAAAGTTAAGAGATCAATGACTTCATAGCGAGAATAACCCAAGTGGGCAACTACTCCAAGAAAAAAATGGGCCAATAGAAGTGGGGACCTTGTAGGCAAAAAATCCTAGTGACAGCTCCATTTTGATATCAACCCTCTAAGTGGAAATTTTCATCATTCCAAAGCAGATTATAAAGAAAGTGAATGATATCCTCAGAATTTTTTTATGGAAGAGTCCGAGTTTAGAGCATGGAGGTAATAAAATAGCTTGGAATCAAATATGTCTTCCTAAGAAGGAAGGAAGGTTGGGCATAAAAGATGTAGAAGCATGGAATAAAGCAGCAATGGCCAGGCATATTTGGAATTTGGTAGATCCTAAAGTTAAATCTTCATGGGTTGATTGGGCTCGAGTTTATTTAATTAAAAACAGAAATTTTTGGGAACTTAAATCCCCTCTAAATTGTTCTTGGACATGGAAGAAATTGCTGAAGATCAGGAGGATTGTTAAAGGATATATCAAATTTACGGCGGGGAATGGTAAAAAAATTTCCTTATGGAGTGATTTTTGGCTATCGGTGGCATATGTTAGAGGTTTTCAAGTTGGCAGGGATCTTATTAATTAGCTGATGGTATCACACTTATTGTTCGCTAACAGTACGATTGTTTTCTGCGAGGCATCAGAGAACCAGTTGGGTTACCCAAGGTCCATGTTGATTTGCTTCCAAGCAGTGTTTGGGCTGAAGTTTAACCTTGGGAAGAGCAAGATTGTCCTGGTGGGGGAGGTAAAGGGATTTCTTCCTTAGCTGGTATTCTAAGCTGCGGTGTAGGAACCTTTTCATTGACTTACTTGGGCCTTCCTCCTGGGATTCCTTCGAGGAGGGTGGCTTTTTGGGATCTAGTCGTGGAGCTATTCGAGAGGAGGCTAGTAGGGTGGAAGAAGCAATACCTCTCAAAAGGGAGCTGCCTAACTCTTATGAAGAGTACTCTTTCGAGCCTTCCAACCTATTATTTATCCATCTTTAAGATTCCCTCTTCCATTGTGAAAGAGGATTGAGAGGCTCCAGAGGAACTTTCTATGGTGTGGGATGGGTGATGAGATGAAATACCACTTAGTGAATTGGGAGAAGTTTTGCAGTCCGACCCAGTTTGGGGGCTTGGGAATTAGGAGCATTGAGTTATTCAACAAAGACTTGTTGGGGAAGACGCTTTGGCGGTATGGGATGTTGAGGGGTAGGATTTGGAGAATGTTTATCCAGTGCAAGGTGGGAGAGGGTAGGGGTGGATGGTGTTCGAAGGAGGTCTCAGCTGTAGTTGGGTCTGAAGATTCATTCGGAAAGGTTGGAATGTGTTTTCCAAGGCATTGGTTTAGGATGAGGAGTGGGAGGTCTATTCACTTTGGGGAGGATATCCGGTGTGGGGATAGATTGTTAGCATGCACATTCCCGAGGCTCTATCAAGTAGCAGTGAATAAAAAGATCTCTGTTGCCGACTCATTTAACCTTGATAATGGGAGGTTGTGTTGGGACATTTAGCTGGAGTGCCATGTGCAGGATTGGAGGTGGAGGAAGTTGTGGAGTTATTGGCCTTATTGTATGGTCAGCAGGTGGAGGGGGAGGGAGATGACCGGTGGCTTTGGAAGGGAGCCGCAGGGCCTTTCCTTTCTTTGGAAGGCTATTTGGCGCACTAAAGCACCTCTCAAGGTGGCTTTCTTTGCTTGGACTACTGGATTGGGAAGGCTTTTGATGATCAACAACCTGAGGAAGAGACGCCTCATCGTGATGAATTGTTGTTGCATGTGCAAGAGATGCTTTTTTCCTTCTTTTCATTTGATTTGGTATATTTCATTTAACATCGATATAATGCAAGGGTATAGTGTCTTTTGTGTTTTGTAGCTTATATCAACTTAAAGGTAATATCAAGCCATCATAAAGATCAAATAATCGAGTCTTTTTATTTTTAGTTCCTATTTTCAAATTCTTAGTTCAATTTTTTATGTTCCATCATGAAATGAATGCTAGATAAATAGAACTTACGTTGGCTAATTTCATACAAGATGGGAATCTGTATCGAATTTGCCAAAGGGAGAGAATGCTAGCTAAATAGAGCTTACGTTGGCTAATTTCATACAAGACGAAAATCTGTATCGATTTTTTTTTCCTAGTTGGGACTCACACACACTGCCTCCACTGAGGTTCGAACCCTTGACCTCCCTTTGGGAAGTAGGAGCCTTGTACCGCTAGGCCACAGGCCTGTTGGTAATCTTTATCGAATTTTGATTTTTGTTTATAAAAGTTTAGTTTCCAGAGTTGGTTGAGTTTCTGTCCAAGGGTAGAAACGGCAAATTAAAAGCTACAACAAGGGCAGAAAGGTAATTGCAACTCTCAAAATTGTGCAGTCACCAAATTAGTGCTCACATACATGCATTCATATCATCAAACATGTTGAATTGTTAGTTGAAATTTCAAAATCATTAAGAGCTGGTTTAGATTTTAAATTTTTGTTGAAAAATTGTTAACTAGATTTGGATGACCTATTCACCCCCCAGGTCTAGTTCTGGTCTTTGCGTAGTCAGACAATCACAACCTTGGGATATGATACTGATCAAAACGATTCAAGCCGTATGGGGATTTCAGCCTTTTATCGAGATCAATTCCATTCTGATATCTCAGGAAAGGTATATAAGGTAGAGTATGCTTAGATGGATGATCAGTAAGATGAAAGAATAGGACGACGACGCTTGAGTGGAGCAAAGGAAGACAGAGGATTAAAGCAACAAGTAGGAGGACAGCTTGGGAATAAGCTTTTGATGTGAAGAGATACCAATGGAAATTTTAGAAAATACATAAGCTTTGATGACCTTTTGTAAAGATATAAATGGATGAATGAAATTTTATTCTGATAGGTAAGTGCTCAGGAAGGAATTTTTTTATACCCTGATTTCTGGTTTAGGGAAAATAGGGTTGGCAAAAGAAGAAGTGATTTGTTAATTTTCATTGCAAGTATAATCAATCTGAACAAAGAATGTCTGAAAAACAAATTCAACAGTTCAACCAACATTTCCTGATTTATAATGGTCTGATCTGGATTTTGACAGAATTACTCTGGTGATCGGTTAAACTTTGGCTTGGCCACTGAGAAAGCAAAATCTGAAGGTTACAACGTTGAGGTATGTACTTATGTAAAACATCTCTTCCAAATCATCCTACTACAGAAAAAAGATCAATAATCAGTGTTCATAAATTGATGTCAAATTATTGTATGCAAATCGATCTTTGCACCTTGTAGTTGGTAATTGTAGGAGATGATTGTGCTTTTCCACCACCACGGGTCAGAGCTGGACGAAGAGGTTTGGCTGGGATTATTCTTGTTCATAAGGTTTGATCTCTCTCTCTCTCTCTCTCTCTCTCTCTCTCGCGCATGCGTAAATTAATGCAAGTTAATACATACATGTGCATGCACATGCAGCTCCACAAGTGCACATCCTCTTGGTTTACTTACCTTTGTCTAATTCGTCCTTTCCTAGTTTTCCCTTCTCCTACCTTCACAAGTTCACATCCTCTTGGTCTTCACAAGTGTTGATCTTATCCAAATTTCTGGTTTATGAGTTTATTATGGTCATCACTTTGCTCTTTATTTTAGAGTATGTAAAGATAAGGGTCATTTTATTTATTTATTTATTTCTTTGGCATCGTATTTGATTGCTTATTGATCATTTGGAAAGGAACCTTTACAACACCAAAAAGGAAAAAAGAAATGCAAGTTCGATGGCAAGAAATCAACAAAAATAATCCTATTTGAAATCCTTGGTATTGTCTGATGAATACTTTACTAGTAATTTTTGAAATGCCATGAAAAAGACATTGTAATAATAATGAATTCAAGTAATAAATGAAAAATTTTCAGAGAGAGAGAGTGTGTATTTTACTAAAGAAAAATAGGAAATAAATAAATAAATAAAAATACATGCCAGATAGAAAGTTAGGGCCTAGGAAGCACGGATACTTCACTATGGGTGCTGTGGCGGTATCAGATACTTAAATGCTTTTCGGATACACGGACACGGCTCGGACATGTGTTGGATACGTCTAGATTCTAGAAGTATCATGAAATTTAAATATATTATTTTCTGGTTGGACACGGCTAAGACATGTCAAGGATACGTGTTGGACATTTTTAGGATGTGGCGGATTGGTTTTGTATTTTTTTTATTTAGAAAAATGGGATTAAATATAATTTAAAATATATCATGGGCTAACTTATCAAAATATATATATATATGGGTTAATTATTAAAATTTAAAAAAACAAAAAATAACAAACATCTAAGTCTATGTTCCAAATTAGTGATTTCATTCATGGTTATATGGATAATAAGCAAATATATATATATATATATATTAATACATGTTATGTTGTTATTTTTTGATCCATGCTATATCAGTATCCTATTTTTTTGAGATTTGGTGTATCACCGTGTTTGTATCGTGTTGTACCCTTGTCCCGTGTCCGTATCTGTGGTTCTTGGGTTGCGTCTTAAACCACTGACCACTCAACATATTTCCATTCTATCACATTCATGTCTATCAAATCAATTCGGTCAATAGATTATTGTTTTTATACTCTTAAAACTCTACAAAAGATGGTATCTTTTTCTTTGTAGAAAATTTGATAGTTTCCCCCAACATTAAAGTTATCCGAGCATCCCAGTCTATTCCCGCCATTTGTTGCATCTCCATAAAATGCAAGTAAAAGCGGGATATAAGCACATGTTCCAAGTATGAAATAGAATGTAACCCGTCAAGTAAATAACCCTATATAGCATTAACACATTTTCACAACATCGCCAGGTAGCATTTGCATTAGGTTAGTAGAAGAATAATAGTTAACACAAAAAAAAAGAAAAAAAGAAAAGAAAAAGAAGAATAAGAAGAAGAAGTCATTTCGTGACTGGAGCAAGTCACGTAAAGAAAAGTAGCAACTAGATACTCGCCTTTTTGAAATTTTGAGTAGCTACTAAACAGGTGATCATGGCACTGAGCAAGTCGTGAAAGGGGGCCAATGAATGGGCTAAGGTGCTAGCCTTTGCATTGAATGGTTCTGTCATCTGTATTTACAAGACGTTATCAGGAAAATTAGAAAAAGAAAAGTAGCACTTGTTTGGAAAATCTGATTATCAATCTCATGCAGTTAAATACACAATGTTCGAAAGAGTTGATTTGCTGACCTGAGCAGCTTGTAGTCCTGGTTGGGTAATCGTGTTAGATATGGGTTAAGCTAACACTAGCTGATGGAATGAGATGTGTTGTGTGATTATTACATAAATTTGTTTATTATGTGAAGAAACTAATGATGGATTCTATTGTACATGTTTTATGAATTATAGGTTTCTGATGGTCTTTTTTGCTTCTTGAAGTACAGGTTGCTGGAGCTGCCGCTGCCTCTGGCCTCTCTCTCGATGATGTTGCTACAGTAGCAAAACATGCATCTGAAATGGTTGGAACAATGGGTGTTGCATTGTCTGGTTGCACACTGCCAGGCCAGGTCTTGTCAGACCGTCTCATCCCCGGAAAGATGGAGCTTGGTATAGGAATTGTATGTAGAACCTTATATGCTACCTAATTTCTATTTTTGTAAGTCATAAGCACAATTTGAATTAATTACCTTCTAAGTAATTTTCATTTGTATAATTATATCGTGAATTTCATATTATCCCTCAAATTTGATATGTTATATTGATTACCCTTAACGCTGCGTGCTTTATTTAGTAGCTTCTCATATCTGGATGACATTGCTTTCTAACAGGTTACTGTTCATTATTTTTCTCTTTTTAGTAACAATGGGTTAATGCATCTATTTATTCATCAAGTCCTTCATTTTTATTTCAATTTTGTGTATTAAATTTTCTAAGACGTACTTCTTTCAGCATGGGGAACAAGGTATTGCTGTGGCTGACCTTACGCCTGTGGATATGGTGATTTCTTGTGTTCTTAAGCATATATTATCACGGGTATGTCTCAGTGGATAGATATATCTATTTCTCATCTTAATTTCATTGGATCTCGCTTGATTCTTGTTTGTCTTAGTAGCTCCTACATGCCTTCTTTTGTGTATCTGAAGGAGCTAATTAAATTCTTAGGAACTTGGAGCTTTATAATTAAAATGAAAGATTCTTTTGGAAAATTTTGATGGTTATGGGGTCATCATTGGATCCTGGGGCTGGGCCTTCCTTTTCGATTTTCTAAACTTGTTTCAACCTTTTAAGTTCTCTATAGTATAGTTGTCAAACAGTGATATCAATAGTTAGTATCCTTCATGAACCATAAAATACATTGACATTTTCGACAATTGATAGAAAATAGTATATACATATATAAAAATAAGAAAATATTTTGTGAAATAATTTTTAGTTTCATGATCATGTTATCTATTGGTACCATATTGGCATCCTCACCACCATCTTTTTTGATTCTTTTTGGGCTTTCCAAAAGTTGCATTAATATTATTGACTTCTTTTTTACAAGTGACTCTAATCTCTTGGTTGGAAGGAATGTTGATGCACTTATCACACTTGCCTACCTAATTTAGTGTTTGATATTTTAATTATAATTTTGTTAGCTGAGATATGATAGCATAGAATCATGGGCTGTGACTTACCATGTTAGCCGAGATATGATAGCCTAGAATCATAGAATTTGACTTTATTTACGCATATGTCTAGCCATAAAATCTGCACTGATTTTATTTAGTTTTCTTTCTTTTAATATTAACGTGTGCTCATTTAGTATATAAATACCAGAGCGGTGAATGAGTGATTTACCTCATTCAAGCCTTACATATTTTTAGCAGATATGATATCCATGATTTATGGAATGACTTGCCATATTAGCAGATATTTGATTATGCTATAGAATATGATGTGATTTGATTTAGATTTGATTTAATTTTCTTTCTTATAATATGAGCATGTACTCTATTTATCTATAAATACTAGAGTTGTGAATGAGTGATTAATCTCATTCAAGCCTATACGCAATTCTCTCCTTTTTATATTTCTTCTTCGTATCAAAGCCAGGGCGGTCCGACTGCAATGAGGGCATTGCAAGTTTGGCACCACCCATTCGGGAATGGACCATGATGAACCCGCCCGGGGGGGGGGGGGGGGGGGGGGGGGCGGTGAATTGGTTCAGTTATAAACTTCTTTCTTTTGACTTGGTCAATTTGAATTAGTACAATGCAGTTGGTTTGAACACTTTGTCAAGTAGCCAAGAAAACACAGGCATTTACAAGGAAAACCCTCTCAATAGGGAAATACCTTGATTCTTGGCCTCGGCCAATAAAGCTCCAGTAGTAGTATGCAAGTAGTTACACACTCAGATGTCTCACACTCTGCACACACCCATGTATAAGTTGAAACCCCGGCTTTCGCAGCCTCTACAGACTCACTAGCTCAACAATGTGCTCACAAGCACTCCCTTTGTCCTAAGCAACCTTGCTTGGACCCTGCAAGCTCTCACAGCTCACCAAATACAATAAGAAGTATGCACAATAACAATGTTCAAGCATACACAAAGGATAAGAGTGGCTGTGTAGCTCAAAACACCAAACAACACCCAATAGAACTAATTCTGCAGCAGTTAAGGTTTGGAGGGTATAATTGGAAATTCATATCCCCCAAATTCTGAGATCAGTTCCACAGCCTTAAATCTTTAATACATACATGCTCATATGATAAACAAGATGAGTATGGCATGTGAATTACAACACAGCAGTAATAAGGCCTTGACAACACTAGAATACATACATGCTCATATGATAAACAAGATGAGTATGGCATGTGAATTACAACACAGCAGTAATAAGGCCTTGACAACACTAGATAAATGAAGAATTAGGGTTTTGGTAGGTCAAAACCAAAGATAGTCACACCACAGCTCAAATATCAATTTCAACAGCCTTGATTCACCAAAATAAACTTGCTAGCATATAGATCAAGCATGGGATAGCAAGATCTACTCAAAATGGAATAGCTCATATACAAGGTCTGAGATACAAAATCCATTTGCAGCAATAGTAAGCTCAAGAACAAGTGTCCAGCAAATGTAAAATACCAAATTGTACCTGTCTCAGCACCACAACAGGCTCAAACAAAGTGGCAGCCCCCAAACCAGCTTCTGCACCAGCAAATGAACCTGTAATGGATAACAACCTTCAGATCAACATTGTGGCCTCACCAAGCATCCTTCTGAGTAGAGATCTGGCTCAAATCATCACATATAATCTCAGCAAGGATGGTTCATCAATAGCTCTCGAGACACACAATGTAGTATAGAATTAGGGTTTACAAAAGTGACTCAAATTAGACTGCTGCACTATAGCAGCATATATATAACAGTTCTCTTGATCCAAGTCCTACTACAATTAGGATGTACACTTGGCAGTTGCAGCCAATGATTGGCAGAGGAATATTCTGACATTCCCTCACCTGAATGGACCATGGTACCCTCTTGCCACCTCAACATTTGTCTTCTAGTGTACCAGCAATATACCAGCTCACATTTATTTCTGTGTAAGCATTCTTATCCAAACTTGGAGCTGAAGAAATGCAATCTCAGTGTATACACTCTCACACTAGAACCACTACAACGTGTCACACATTTGAGCTCTGAACAAAAAGACCAAATTGCCCTTAGACAGGCCACTTGTCATTATCAGCATGAAACAGTTGCTGAGACTGTATTAAGGGCAATGCTGCTTAATTAAAGGCCGTTCAATGCAATGCAGCATGCTGGACAAATGTAATAAGGTCTAATTCAACTGAGAAAAGACCAAAGTACCCCTGAATATCCCTGTAGCCAATTTTCATATGTTGTACCTCAAGAATAACAGAAAAATGGCTGTAAGCTGCATGTAAGCTGCAATGTACCATCCTAGATCTTTATGAAAGTGTGCCACAAGATGGTAGAAGACTAAAATGTCCCTGAATGATGATACAAGATAATTTGCACAACAACAATGGTGAAACAAGCTATAGCAACAACCTTAAAGTACATTGTTTTGACATTAATAGGGCAAAGATTTGGACCCTAGGACCAACAAACTAAGGTGACATCGCCCATCCGGGAGGTGTCGGGTAGGCAGGGTGGTCTAGCCTCAATGAGGGCGTTGCGAGTTTGGCACCACCCATTCAAAAATAGTCTGAAGAGGCATAGTTGTTTATTTTTTATGGTCTGAGGAGACATTGTTGATTATTTCATCTACATTTTTTAAACATATGTATGAAGGGCAATAGTCTGAGGAGACATTGTTGATTCTTCCATCTACATGTTTTAAACACTTATATGAAGGGAAATGGTATAAGGAGACATTGTTGGTTGTTTACGGTTTGAGGAGACATGATTGGTTGTTTATGGTCTGAGAAGACATTGTTGATTGTTTATTGTCTTAGGAGACATTTTTGATTTGTTGATCGACACTTCATTTGAGAGAAAATCATTGCTAGTCAGATTTGCACTCTGCAACTTGTAGATTCTGAAGAAAGGTGTTAGCGAGACTGTGTTTAAAGATGCATTGTCCAAGTTAGGCGTCTTAGACATCCACGCACCAACTTGAAGGGGGGTGTTGGCAGATATGATAGCCACGATTTATGAAATGACTTGTCATATTAGCAGAGATTTGATTATGCTATAGAATATGATTGGATTTGATTTAGATTTAATTTAATTTCCTTTCTTGTAGTATGAGCGTGTGCTCTTTTTATCTATAAATATTAGAGCTGTGAATGAGTGATTAATCTCATTCAAGCCTATACACAATTCTTTCCTTTTTATATTTCTTCTCATATTTATCTTCCATTCCTGTTATCTTGTGTTTCTTCTTGGTATTAGAGCCAACACCTTTCCACAACCTCCAGCAGCCTTGCGGCTTATGCGATAGGCACCTTAGGCTATTTGCGACACCCTGTGACGTCTGCACGTGGGTTTTTATGAGCAGTGTTATTAAAGGCCCAAGGCGCATTAAGGCGCTAGAGGTCCTTTGGAGCCTAGGCACGAGGCGCACGGCTGAGTGAAGTGAGGCTCACAATTGAAAATTTAAACTACCATAAAAACATTCATATCTCATAAGTCATATTAATATTCTAAAAATTAATATCAAATATAAAAAAATAAATCCATCAACTAAACAAGCATCCAACAACCATAAAATAGAGCACAAATTTGTTTTCTTGAAAGGCAAAACAGAATTTGTTTTTTTTGAATGGCAAAACAGAGCACAAAAAGAAATAAATCTGTTAACAAAAAAGAAAAAGAAAAATCTATTAACAAGAAAATAAAAGAAACAAAAATAGAGCAAAAAAAAAAAAAGAAGTGAAGACAGAAGAAGTAGATGAAGAGAGAGAAGTAAACGAGAAGATATAGAAAGTGTCAAAGAAAAAAAAGAGAAAAACAAAGCCCCAAAAAGAAAAACTCAGAGAGGAGAACTAGATGAAGTGAGAGATAACAAAGATAAGAGAGGAGTATAGAAGAAGAGAGGAGAGAGAAGTAGAGGAAAACAGAGGAGAGAGAAGTAGAGGAAAACAGAGAGAAGAAGAAGAAAGAACTAACGTGGCTTCGTTGTTCATCTCTGCAACTAGGGCTTTGTTGTTCGTTTCACGGTTTCACTCTTTCTCTGTTTAGTTGACACTTTAACTCTTGGGCTTTCTTATTTGTTTATTCTTTTGAACAGAAGTTTCTTCTCTCATACGCTTGGGATTATCCTTAGTTGCCAAAAGTACCTTTTTTGGCTAAAGAAATAGAATAATCATAGTTTAAAAAAAAAAAAAAATCAGTGGGGCGGTTGACAACTAAGACGACGTGCAACCGAGGCACGCGCCTAGTAAACATAGTGAGCCTGGGATGACAATAGGCACTAGACCTGCGCCTCGAGCTTGCGCCTAGGCGCTTCTTTAACAACACTGTTTGTGAGTTGTTGATTTGTGATCAAAAGCAGGTATTTTTGAGTTTTACAAGT